CTTATTGTGTCCCAGTTTGCAGTGAGGATAGAACTTTTTACTTATTTTTTATTTTTATTTTCATGGCGATTAGCATATGTATTTAACGGAGCACTTTGTTGTCTCGGCTGAACTGAATTATGATGCGCTCGATGTGTCACGAGGCGGATGGGTTTTGTAATGGAGGAGCCGACGGAGCTGGAAGCCGGTTTCTAGTTATCCCATTTTTTTTTCTTTAATATTTTTTTGAAGTCAACCGATATTGTTACGTCTTCAAGGTGCTATTGTTGTTGGTGGATGATTTTTTTTTTTTTTTTTTTATATTACGTAAATAATGTAGATTGAAATAACTAAAGCGATCCCTAAAATCACGCAACGTTTTAAAAAACAACGTAGTGGCATCAAGTTGTAATGACGTTATAAAAACGTTGTAAAAATGTTGATAATTTGCTTGAAACTGATAACTTTCATTGATATTGTGTATGGATAACAACAGCTCAAGGTAGAGGTTGAGCTGATTTACGATAATTTTCAGCAATAAGTATGTTTTTTTCAATTTTTTCTTTTTACAATCTACTTAGTTAGCCCAATTTCTCATTTTCAATATTTTTACAATGTTTGTGTAATATGATTACAAAATTTATTCAACAAAGTTTTAAAGTTGTAAGAATCACGTTTTTTCAAGATTCATAGAATGTGTGCTACTAGGATTGTGTAAACGATATAAGTACGTTTGAATAAACGAGTACACGATTTTATTACCGATTTTGATAAAAAATACTCAACACTTTCGATGATAAAAGATCAATTAAAACAAAACTAACGATTTCGTACATTACTTTCACATTTTTTTCGTAAGCATAATGTGCATCTTTGAACTTACGAAAACTCTCTTATATACTCTTATCGTGTTATCTCATCGTTTGTACATCACGTAATATAATCCCATGCAAAGAATTCTGAAGTGTGGAACTGAGCTTTTTTTCCACTCGTTTCGTAGATATTCGATAAAAATAGCTACACACTTATTTTAAAACATTCCACGTGCGTACATTTGATTCACGAGACTTTTTTTTGTATCCTTTCTCAAAAGATTCATACATCCACGCGTTGAAGCTTCTTTATGCGAGATTTTATTAGTTTGTTTAAAATTAATCAGACGACAGATATTGGTGATAAAAAAATATACAAAATATATTGCAGTAGCAATGTGACTAATTCAATTCAATGTCAATGAATTAAAGAGTGAAATCAATAAGTGAAATTAAATTGGTGACACGGTTAAATTACATTCTTATAATGAGCTCCAGTGCGACAAAACTATTATTCGAAAAGACATGGAGGAAAAAAAAACGCGAAACATGTCGACCCAGTTTTTTATTGATAAAAAAATGTATATACATATGGTTTCATTTATCAGAAAAATGGCCGTCAACTTGAACAGCGTCTTAATAAGCGACCCCGTCGACGATCAGTGCGCAAAATTACTGACCCGATACGAAATAGATGTCACGACAAAGTACAAGCTGTCAAAGGAGGAGCTCATCGAAGAGTTGCAGGTTTGGAGTCAAATTTTTTGTCAACTAAAAAAAAATGAAAATATTTCAAGTAAAAATCAATTTCCTTTCCTATATGTGCAGAAACACGATGGCCTGATCGTCCGATCGGAGACCAAAGTAACGGCCGACGTGATAGCCGCAGCCCCGAATCTCAAGATGATCGGACGCGCCGGCACCGGCGTCGACAACATCGACGTCCCAGCTGCCACGCGCCAAGGCATATTGGTCCTAAAGTAAGTACATTGCGATATTTTTCACTACATTACAAGCGCGTCATTTGACTCGAGCAGTATATGAGCTAAGCACGCGGACCCCCAAGAGAGCAAATTATCTCGTTTCTTTGATAAGCAAATTTTTATTTTCACACTCGTGATGTGTGTGTGTGTGGGTTACGCCTTATCTGCGATCTCCAAGAAACACTGTGTTGGTCTTACAAAATCACGAGCTTACTAAAAAGTTGCAATTCACAAGTTATCGCGTTGTAAACTCGACAAATGTGACGCTAGTTTTCAGCATGTCTAGCGCATTGGTCACGTGACAAAAAAATTCTGACCTACTAACAACAGAGCTAAGATACCGGTTTTTACAGATGAAACTGATAGCTGTTCATTAGTCTATCGCTAGTGTTAGATGTTGAAAATTGGAAGCCAGAGTCCATAAAAACGGATCACAAATCAATTAAAAACGTCCCCTCCGCCTTTTTTCAGCACACCAGGTGGTAACAGCACGAGCGCCTGCGAGTTGACGTGCGCGATGATAATGGCCCTGGCCCGAAATGTCGTACAAGCGGGCCAGTCGATGCGAGAGGGCCGCTGGGACCGTAAAGTCTACGCCGGCCGCGAACTCGAGGGCAAGTGCCTCGGGGTCCTCGGTTTCGGACGCATTGGTCGCGAAGTCGCCGCAAGGATGAAGGCCTTCGGTATGAAAGTCCTTGCTTACGACCCGCTGCTCACCCCAGGGCAATTCAGGGAACTTGGGGTCGACAATGCCAGCGTCGATGGCGTGCTCGAGCGGGCGGATTACATTACCGTACATACGCCGCTTATCAAGGAGACTAAAGGTAGGCAATATATTTTTTTTACCGATTTTACAACATTTAGACTTAATGACATACTAGTTGATTTCTCTAATCTACAATGACTTGGGGTCCATTTTTTACATTTTTCGCAGAATGGATAAAACTTAAGATTAGCAAAGCCAAAGATGTAGGTGATACATTTTTCTCTCTTTTTCCATTCTCGATGGACCTTCCTAAATTACAGCTTGATCCCGTTATCCTAAAAAATAAATGTTAACTATTTTTGTTTAGAAAGAACAAATATTAGTTTCTTTCGTTCAATAAGCGATGTGTCGCGATCAGCAAGACAAAAACCTGTAATCGTGTCTCAACTAAAAATCGATGTCGTTGACTCTGCTTTTTTTTTGCGCTTTTTAGATTTGCTGAACGGAAAGAACATGCTCAAGTGCAAGAAAGGCTTTTGCGTCGTGAACGTCGCTCGTGGTGGTATAATCAGTGAGTCCGGGCTTCTGAGCGTCCTCGAGAGCGGGCACTGCGGTGGCGCCGGCTTGGACGTCTTCACCGAGGAACCCCCGAAAAGCGCGACTCTGCTCAAACTCATCCAGCATCCGAAAGTCATTGCTACACCTCATCTTGGTAAGTTTTGCAGATATGGTTTTAATGTCCCTGAAATATTAAAAAAAAAAGTACGAATCATATGATGCTTTTTAAAGGTAAGTATATTGAAAATCGAAAAAGTATGTAAGTACCGTCTTGTTATACATTTTTACTGTTTCATATAATGCTAACTAAAGAGTCGATGTGTTTTTAAAATATGAAATATCTGCTGATTTTTCTGATTAAGAATCACTTTTAGACCAATTTTGAGTTAATCTCTGTTCAGTCTCTGCAGTCTCAATTTAGTCTCTGCAGGCAGGTTAAAAATTCAATGTTTACTCGTCTCCGTGATGATATCTGAAGGACTATATATGTGTACTTAAATTAATTAGCTTCAAATGTTTACCAACAAAGTGTAATGGTCTCGCTGAAGCTTCAAAGATATACCTCTCCTTATGTTAATTTTAGTCTGCATTCTGCACGCGCATGTCTGCAGTAGGCCGGGTATATGGGCTGGTAAACGTTAATGGGTATGATGCTATGAATCTGCTCTGTTTGCCTTGATATGATTCTGATCTTTTTAAGTGCGGAAAAAAATAAAAACAAGATTCCTCCCATAAGACCTGTGTTATTTTCCCTCTACATTAGTCATATATATACTGAGATCACGTGGTAGAGGCATAATGCCAATACTAGATAAGTAGAATATTTATACTTTTGGAAGTCGATTTTTCAGTAAAAGATAAACTTGCCGCAAACAGCATAAATAAAATTTAATTTTTATTATTCATCTCTAATATTAGTTGCGGCTGGTTTATAATTGATTAAATGGCACTACTATAAATAGTAATAACTATTTGGATCAGCGCCATCTAGCGTTGCGGATTTCTGAACTAAAAAGTGGCCCTAAACTTTTGACTCACAGCATTAGCGCTTGGAGTCATTTAGTCTATTATAAACCAGCCGCAACTCATTTGGTAGCTATAAAATAAAAAAATAACAATATATGTGTTTTTGGCGGCAAGTTAACAATCTATTTTCTACCAAAAAATCGACCTCTTATGTATTTATACTTTTGAAGATAAATTTTCAAACAAAAAATAGATTGTTAACTTGCCGCCAAAAACACATGTATTGTTATTTTTTTATTTTATAGCTACCAAATGAGTTGCGGCTGGTTTATAATAGACTAAATGGCTCTAAGGGCTAATGCTGTGAGTCAAAAGTTTAGGGCCACTTTTTAGTTTAGAAATCCGCAACGCTAGATGGCGCTGATCCAAATAGTTATTACTACATATACACTTACAGTAGAGCCATTTTATTAATAATAAACCAGCCGCAACTCATTTAATACTCACAAAATAAAAAGTTAACGTTGTTTGTGCTATTTGCGGCAAGTTTACAATTAATTTTTACCCGAAAATTGACCTCCAAAAGTATAAATATTATTTGCAGTTTTACATACTACGAGCGCTCTCTGGCGGAGAATCTTCTGAGATTGAGATCTGAGATGAGACTTCAGAGTTTTACTTTTTAACTCAAAATCATCAACGCGAGATGGCGCTGACTATAACAAAAAAAAATAAAAGAAATACCTGGCTCGCAAGCTCACAACGCAAACTTTCGAGGACAGTACACCGCACACATGCATAGATTGTTATTAATTTTTTCGTGTAGTGCAATTACTGCAGTATTTAATGAATAATATAATCTACTGAACCCGTGTCACAGTAAAGTATTACCGGATAATCACCTGTGCTTATCTACTCGTATTTCGTAGATTATAAATAAAAAATTGCAAATGTAGAAGTAAGCAAAACATAGACAATGTCGGTGATAACCTTAAACTCACTCCCATGTATTTTCAAGTGTATTAAATTATGCAATGAAAAATTCGTATAAAACTTAATCGTTGATTGCGTATATGGCAAGTAAATGTAATTACTAAAGTTCCTTGACGTGACAAAAATAGTTGGACATAAAAAATGAGTGACGAAGATGAGATGTCCGAGGAGGAGATGTTCATCATCCCTGATGAAATCGAGTTCAAACTCGGGAGTCCACTTATGGAAAATTACACCGACAAATCACGACAAACGTATCAAAAGAGGTACAATGATTTTATCAATTGGCAACAGACGAGCAACAACGTATCCTTTGACGAGGACACTCTGCTCACTTATTTTCATGAAATATCGGAAAACAAAAATTCAGCGTCGTTGTACGCCAAGTACTCGATGCTCAAGACTATGCTGAATGTCGAGAAAAACGTTGATATCGATAAATACGAAAGATTAAAGGCTTTTCTCAAAGAAAAACATGGAGGCTACAAGGCTAAGAAAGCTCAAGTCTTTTCGTTGAATGACGTCTCTAGATTTCTGACTGAAGCTCCTGATCACATCTATTTGGCCGAAAAGGTAAACAATTGTCTGTTTGTACATGCGATATTTCATGTAAGTACAGGCTCTCAAAGGCACGATTTATATTTGTAGGTTGCTTTAATCATAGGTGTAACTGGTGCCTGTCGAAGGGAAGAATTGCGTGCATTGAAAATAGAAAACTTGAGATTTGAAAATTCCATTCTCATTATCAGTATTCCAAATACGAGGACTCGAGTGGCTAGAACTTTTGTGATTGAGGGAGAATATTTTAACATAATAGACAAGTACGTGAAACTCAGGCCACCTTATGCACCTCCCAATCTGTTTCTGTATGTTAAGAATGATCAGTGTACTAATCAACCGATTGGTAAAAACAAAATGGGAACCATTCCCAAGGAAATAGCCACATGGCTCGGACTACCAAGTGCAGAAAAGTACAATGGTCACACGTATAGAAGCACTTCAAAGACTTTACTTTCAAACTTTGGAGCTAGCACTGCGGTGATTAAACGTAATGGAAGGTTGATGCCGGTTGTGGACAATTTTAGGAATAAAAGAATTAAGTACAATCAGTTCAATACTTATGAGGATAATCAAAGCAATTATGGCAATTCTTCTTACCTAGACAGAACACAGAGAGCTGAAGATCCTCTAGGCAACGGTACAGTTTGTAATTTGTCCTGCTTCAAAAGCATTACATTTCCCAACAGGAATATCTGGTTTTTGCTACCATTTAAAATTTCATTAAAAAAACAATGATTTAACTTGTTACACGTAATGTAGTTATTCAACACCAATTTTTATTTATTTTTAAATCTCTTTACTTATTAAATAGTTTTTTTAATTTATACAGATATATTATTAATTTATTTTGTTATCAGCTTGCAGATCCAGTAAATAATTCAGTCCTACCAACACATTATTGCTCCTTATCAACCACTAAACTTTCCACAAATTTACATGAAGAAGCAATACGTTTAATACAGTATTTGTTATGTAGTTCAAATCATGTCATGTAAAAAAATGTTTGCCTAGCAAAATTGCTGAATACTCTAACCACTATTATTCACTATAACCGACTTGTACAATTAGACTGTAATACTTGAACCCGTTTTTAATGTATTTATTTTTAATGATCAATCAATTGAAAATACAAATTTTATTTCAATTTCCAGGTGCAAGCACAGCAGAGGCACAGACGAGAGTTGCAGTTGAAATAGCGGAGCATTTTTTGACGCTGTCAGGTAGAACTGATGAATTTCCGATCACGGGAATTGTTAACGCACCATCCCTCGTCGCGGCGAACAATCCAACGAATGCTCCGTGGGTCGATCTAGCCCGGAAACTCGGCATAATTGCGAGCAAATTTATAGGATCCAAGAATCGAAACATAGTAGTGGACTACTGCGTTTGCGGCGGGGAGGACAAAAAGTACGTGAAAACCGCGCTTTTGCTTGGTCTGTTGACCGGTCGCGTGAAGGGTGAGCTGAATCTCATCAACGCTCAGAACCTCGCAGATGAGCTGAAGATCAAGGTGAATGAGCAGTCTTGGAGCGACTGCGAGAACGTCTTGTTCGTTAAAGCTGGAGGGCACGAAGTTAAAGGTGCGTTGACGATCATTCATTGTAAAAGTATGATTTACTACGAAGTTTTCAATTGTTTTCTATTTTCTAGGTTCCTTGGCATGTGACTCGAGTAAATTAATGTCTGTGGACAACACTCAGTTCAAGGACTACGTGTGCCTTCTCCAAGACAATATCTCGCTGTACAAGACGAAAACGCCGGAAGATTTGACTAAAATTGTATCGAGCCACATTAACAAATCGGTTACAATCAGCAGCGTAAGCGTTTCTGGCAATTGGGTCGTTATGCAGACCAACAATCCGGTTACTATTCCCATCGATGGCATCGAAAGTTATTGATGCACTCAGTCAGTCTTTTATCACCATCATGCAAGAGTTTTGTCCATAATATACTTATTAATGAAAATATGGTGTATTTATGATGCATGCATACAAAAAAATTATTTTGATGATTTATCTGAAGCTTGCACGAAATGCTAAATAGCTTTCAAGTACTGAACATTCCTGTGAAAAAAAAAATCATTTCATGTGAGTTGATGTTCAAGTTTAAATATTTCTACTATCTCGTGTTTTTGTTGTTTATAAATAAATAAATAAATATACATACATAGATACATACATAACTAGTGATAATATATTTTATATTTTTAATAATTAAAATATATTAAAGTAAAAGCAACTATAAAGTTTAAGCACAAAATTACATCGTTGTATATTTTTTCTTACCTGTTGAGCCAGTATTTACTTTCAAAAGTCCAGCTTGATATAAATAAAGTATTTAAAACTTTAGCTTTAACCATATAATATAAACCTGTAAAGATAGACTCTTACACAAAGAATGTTATTTTTTTATAGGACATACTATAGTTTGATAAGGTATATTTGTTAGTGTTAAAAGGATTTTTTTATCAAATTTACCATTTTTTGGTAGTAAGTACTCATTTTAATACGTTCACTTTTGCAATTGAAATGGATAACATGATTTTTATGTAAAAATAAACTGAAGAATGAAAAAATGTAAGAGATAGTCAATGAAATTCTGAAAGAGTTTCAATTGAGCTATGACAAATTGAAAACGTCTTATTCTTGGTTCCTGTATTAAAATTTATTAACGTAAGTATCCGAAACGTCAAAGGTAAAAATCAACTGTGTCCCTTTAAAAAAAAAAAAAAAAATCAAAGTCACGCGCGCGTTTTTTACAGATACGGCGAACGGCGAAGCAAAATCAAAACAAACTAACCTTACCTCCTGTGTGATTGTATGTGTTATTGCCAGAGATTAGTAGATAAGTAGATCTACAACTAATCTCTGTTATTGTATGGTTTGCCTGCAGTGGTGTTGCAAATACAAAATGTAAATTTCCTTGTCGGTCGCGAAAAATTAATCGTCACAATTGTTGCAACTTGTCGTTAAAATATATCCCAAAAGATGAGCGACGACGACGGATTCGAGGAGTACATCCTCCCCGAGCTCGTGCACAAAATAGAGAGCTCAACGCAGGAGGTACCTTCGATCAAATCCCAAGAATTGTACAAAAAACGATACAACGATTTTCTCAAGTGGCAGCAATTGAGCAATAATCAATCGTTCGAAGAAAACACTTTGCTCAGTTACTTCAAACACATGTCGGAGCGCACGAATTCGGCATCTTTGTGGGCAAAGTACTCGATGTTGAAGACAATGCTGAACATAAACAAAAACATTGACATTGACAAGTACAGCAACTTGAAGGCTTTTCTCAAAGAAAAACACAAGGGATACAAGGCCAAGAGAGCAGCAGTCTTTTCGTCCAGGGATTTGAATCGTTTTTTAACCACAGCTCCCGACAGTATTTTCATATCTGAAAAGGTAATGTCATTCAGTGGCTGTGATTTCAGTAGTTCAAATGTTAAATTGCCATCTTTTGCAGGTTGCTCTGATAATTGGTGTAACTGGTGCTTGTCGAAGGGAAGAACTGCGTGGATTGAAAATTGACAATTTGAGATTTGAAAATTCTCTTGTGATCGTTAGTATTCCCGGTTCGAACAATCGTGTTTCTAGGACTTTTGTGATAGAAGGCAAATACTTTGATATTATAGAAAAGTACGTGAGCCTGAGACCCCCATTCGCACCGCCGTGTCTTTTGCTGTGCACTCGCAATGGACAGAGTACCAACAATCCCATTGGTATAAACAAAATTGGAACCATGCCAAAGGAAATAGCCACTTGGCTGGGACTACCGAGTCCAGAACGGTATACCGGCCACACGTTTAGGAAAACGTCGAAAAATTTAATTGCCAATACCGGAGCAAGCATAACAACGTTCAAACGTCGAGGATTGCGGTCAGTTGCGGAACGTTTGATTGCCGAATCCGTAGGCAGTAACGAAACAAATCAAAACCAAATAGATTCCTTTACGGCGGATCAGAGCGACGATGGCGACGATTCTAGTCTAGATATCAAACCAATAGTGGATCCAAATTTAATACAATTGGGTAACGAGTTTCTTCTATCAATATTTTTTCTTTTGGAATGTATTTAGCTACTAAGGAGAATATTTTTTATTTAAAAGCCATTTTACTGTTATTTCATGACTAAGTAATTAGTCAAATCCCAAATACATTTATATGCTTCAAAACTGTTTTTACTCACTCTACTTAAAATCGAAAACCGCCTGTCCTATCGTGCTCTATTCATTTAAACAAGAATCGTAATCGCTTGGTACATCATTTATTAGAACAATGAGGAGGGTAAAAACCAATTGACATTTAAAAAAATCTAAGTTTTAATGACATCTGATATCAAAGCAAATTTATTTTTTGGCTTTGATGAATCGCATGAATTCCATAATGGTACATTTATTGACTATTTGTGTGTAAAATCGAGCTTTGTGCATTTATCGTGTACCAAGTACTTACATTAGGTTGCCATTAATTAAATTCTTTAAACTTCCAGTTGAGGAAGCAGTAGAGATGGAAACGACAACTGATGAGACCTATAAAAATGAGCCAGTTTTGCCGCTCTCGAACAATAATACTAAGGAACACTCGATTACAGAAACAATCAAGACAAATAATTTAAAAAATCCTCCATGGGTCGATCTAGCTCGGAGACTGGGAATAATTGCCAGTAAGTTCGTTGGCCCCAAGAACCAAAACATAACAATAAATTTTTGTGCCTGTGGAGGGGAGGACAAAAAGTACGCGAAAAACGCGCTTTTGCTTGGTCTGTTGACCGGTCGTGTAAAGGACGAACTGAATCTCGCTAATGTGCAAAAAGTTGCCGACAAATTAAGGCTAAAAGTCAACGAGCAGTCTTGGAACGATGTCCAGAGCGTCTTGTTCGTCAAAGCTGGAGGACATGAGATTAAAGGTGTGGTTTTATGATTATTTTACGGTATTAGTTGATTTATTTTAACAAAGACTTACAATTGTTTTTTGTTCCTTAGGCTCGTTGGCCTGCAGCGCGACCGTACTAATGTCTGTGGACAACACTCCGTTCAAGGACTACGTGTGCCTTCTCCAAGACAATATCTCGCTATACAAGACAAAAACACCGGAAGATTTGGCTAAAATCGTCACGGGTCACATTGTCAAGTCAGTTGCCATAAGCAATGTAAGCGTTTCGGGCAATTGGGTCGTTATGCAGACCAACAATCCGGTTACTATTCCCATCGATGGTATCGATAGTTTTTAAACGCTCGAGTTAGTCGCTTGTTGCTGTAAAATTTGTACCTATTAGAATAATTTTTTTTGCGTATTTTTTTTTTTTTTTAAAGAAAATTGCATACACCAACAACTAAGTATGACAGTATAACTTGTGTTTTTCCATAGAAATGTCGAAATACCGAACATTGACATGGAGAAATCATTCAGTTTGTGTAGATATAGAAGTTTAAACGTGTCCGTATTTTTATTATAAAAAATAAATGCCTATTTATAACTTTTATAAAAATATCCAAATATAATAAATCAAAGAATTTCGAAAATAGTTTAAACATAAAATCCTATGGGCATACGTTTTTTTCCCGTCCCACCTAATTGACATTTTCTATAAATTTCCTTCTTGGACGGATGGTCATTGCTCGCTCGGGCGTGGTATTTTAAAACTCTTTTTCATCCCTGCCAATCGCGAAGGGAACACAGTCCACTGAAGGCACAGAGTCACGTGTGCAGCCCAATTCTGCAAAGCCCATCAAGCGGAAATCCTTTGGGTTGGTGTTGGATCAATTTACTTCCTCAAAATATGACGGGCTTCCTCGAGCATCCGTCTCGATTCTGTACCGTCTGAAGATTCGTTATACTCTTCTGATGGTTGTACAGGTTGATTACCCTTAGACTTAGCACACTTATTTTATGGATTCCTAAGCATTTGTAAAAAAACAAAAAAAACAAAAATTGAAATAGTGTCCTTGTCCAAAAATGCGATAACCAGCCAAATCAGTGTAAAACGTGATTTCATTTGCTGAGATCGATCGTCATCAGATTACCGGTAACCAACTGCAACTACGGATGTATGGATAAAATCTCTTTGTAAACGTTCACCCGTGAATGTCTTCGCGATGTTAATCGAAGCGTGAAAATCAGCAAGGGCTTTGCGACGGATTTATTTACAAGTCATACCTCACCTCGACCCGCATGTACTTCCCGCCGCGCGCGATATCATTGTACACGAACAAATTGCATGGATAAGTTATACACTAACGAAAAAAATACGGTACCAATTCGTTGACAAGGTATATAGGTATGAAAGTCATGCATGATCTATGTAACGAACCAAGTGAGCCATACTGACGGTACCAAGCGTTGAAGAATCAAAGGTACTTTTTACTTATTTTTACATTTTGTAACTATATTTCGTCATTCTATGTAGGCACGATTTCTTCGCAATATTTTTACTAAACGAACAAACGTTGATTTACTCATTTTTTTTGGACTATCGCCCAGAAAGGGTGTGTGCATTAAAATAAATTAAACTACATAAAATTAAAAAGAAAGCCTAAAAGAAGCACTGATTTGTGTGCATCTGATTGGGCAATAAAATAAAACGAAATAAGAGAAGCAGCTGCTTGATAATAATGAAAAATCATCTACATGAGTTTTACTCGTCAGTTCAAATCTTGTTGGGTAAGCAAGGTAACTTCGTGGGGTGCTTTGCGTGCAGGGGCTCGATACATGATCGGTATCTTCCAGTCGAATCTTTCTTCTGCACCTGGACAAAGTCGGTCAGCTTTTTTATTCGAGAAATGACGGTTTGACGAGGCGTGGAGATCTCTGCTTGGCTGTGCAACGTCCAATTTTTAATTACTGATGATGAGCATATACTGTTTTGAAAATACAACGTGTGTGGCTCATTTTTTTTTTTTTCCAACAATGATCGTACCTCGCACGCATCACCACCAAGACACGTTTGGTATTTTTCGCGAAGCGCATAAATACAAAACATCAAGTGCTTTATCGCGTATGCGTATTATTATTATTATTGATTTCGTATGCGTGTCGGTGTTGCAAAAAAAAAAAAAAAAAAAAAAAGTATTGTATACACAGCAATTTTAATTTCAATCAGATATACATAATATGTCGTTCTTTTATTGATCACAGAATATAGCGTTGACTATTATTTTTTATACAAGG